ACCCGACGCCGGACTTCTACCGGTTATCGGACTTCGCTGGACGTCTACGCAAAGATGGATTTCTTTCCATTGTTGGACTTCTACCTGATGTTGTCCTTCTGATCTTTGTCGTCATACTACAATCTTTCCGACCTTTGTCGCCCGTCGACTACGATCCTCCTGACTTAAGTCACCCGCCGACTACAGTCCTTCCGACCTCTGTCGCCCGTCGACTACGGTCCTCCTAACTTAAGTCGCTCGTCGACTACAGTCCTTCCAACCTCCGTCGCCAGCCGACTATGGTCCTCTTGACTTACGTCGCCCGCCGACTACAGTCCTTCCGACCTCCATCGCCAGCCAACTACGGTCCTCCTGACTTACATCGCCCACCGACTACAAGCCCTCCGACCTCTGTCGCCCGCCGACTACAGTCCTCCCGACCAAACGAATACATCAATAGTAACTCTTTGTATTTACATCATGTAATGTACTCTATAAGATGTACATCAAGCTATGGCCTTCTCCTAAGGAAGGGCCTCATTTGTAATCGACTGCAAATACTAGTGGATTCGTTCAAACTGGGCTAGGCCCCGTAGTTTTTCCCCCTTTTTTCAGGGGTTTTCCACGTAAAAATCTTGGTGTCTCATAAATGCTAGACCCTCTTTCCTTATCTGATTGCGTGCCGGATTTTCGTACAACATTAAGACGTTAAATATGATATTTCTCTACAGCCGTGAATACTCCTGGACGCAACAATAATATAATTTGTTATAATAATCAATTAATTAGGGCCATAATATTTAGAAAACAAATTAAGAATGTGAGTTAGGTACTAATTACATAGAATATTGATCTACTAATTCACCTACTTTTACTTGATGGAACAAACTGTAAAGAAGAAGTTCGGTTATCTAAAGCTATTTAATCGCATAGGTTATGATCACCATACGGTCAAAACAAAGTAGGTAAAGCACGTAGACAAATAGTTTGCTTAGAGAATAATATAAGCAAGAGGACTTTTAGTTGTTTTGTTACAATCGAAGATGCGTAGATAAGAACTGCTTCTCTTTTCTAGAATTGCAAAGCAGAAGTGTTTGGCAAACTAAACACTTTTAGCATGCTGAATTAATTTGGAAGTACATGCATGCATGCATGCATGTGTGGACGTGTGATTGAATTCAAGGAATTTGAGTGAAAGGGAAATGGAAATGAGAGTTGAAAATGCTAAATTATTGATTGAATATTCATAGTTAATGCATAATTTTTTAGAATTAGGTTTCATTGAGATAGTTTTTTTACTGTTTTGTATTTTTTTTTTCAAATTTCAATCATAATTTTTATTTGACCATTATTGTTTTGTTGCTTTCAATATATTTTTGTACTAGCTAGTAATGATCTGCTTTCTTCTACGGCTTACAAAAAAAATATTTTGTCTACAATATATTTACAAAGGAGATATTGATGTTGAGTATTGTAAACTTTATGGTGGTAGGAAGTGTTCACTACAGAAAAAATTGATATTTCACACGTTATCCACGGAAAATATTAACTTTTCAGTGGCTTTCCGACAAAAAACGGGTTGATGTGTTTTGTTGATTTTTCATTTACTAACAATGAATAATATTATTATTTGTTTAGTTTCAATATTTTGTTCACTAAAAGATTTAGCACTAAATCAACACGTAAAGAAACAAAATAATTATAATAAATTTCTAATGTTAAATTCTGAAGTGTCTAAACATTAGTGGGTGGCCCTAAGTTTGTTGATTATAATATCAAATAATAACTCGATGGTATCTTTGTAATTTGGCTTAAACTCTGTTCCTAACAACTCCCTAGCTAACCATGAATCTGGACTCCTTATGCGAGAATTGCCAGATTGGAGTTGTGCGATGTGATATACAAGTCTAGCAGCTAATAGCGATCAAACTCAGCTATTGAATGCAGAACTTTTGACGGCTTTGGCATAATTTATTTTGATTTGTTGGTTGAAAGTTTAGACTTCCAATTAAGAAGTTTTTGGTTCGAGTATTTATGTATGCGTTGTGTACGTGTGTGATTATCTTAATTGACCCAAATATTCAAAAAAAAGAGTTTAATAGATTTGGAGATTATGATTTTGAATTTTTTTCTCATGATAATTTGACAAGAAAATCCTTTCCTTTTACCTTTTTTTTTTTAAATATGATCTCAAATCCACTAATTTAAGAAGTAATTATCTCTAAATCTCACATTTTTATAGTCAAATCGATTATCTTGATGAGATAAATCTGAAACACCAAATTCTAATATTATTAAGCACTTAAATGTTTAAAGAATGATCTATAAATTGGGTATTCAATATATGTCATTTGATGGAAGGTTTAATTATGTGTTATATATCCACTCTAAAAAATTTATAAATAAGCTCCAACTCTTAAGATGAAGGGGGCTTGGAGGATTGGATCATTGCTTGAGACTCAAAAGAGCCAAGATGCTTGAAGAAACTTAGCGCTTGACTTGAGCATCGCTGTCAAACCAAAACCAACAGATCATCATCACTTAACTAACGCCATCGGTCTAGTGTCATCTAACTATAATCTTTCGACTACCATCATCTAATTATTGTCACCATAGTACAGTCGTCCAACTAGCATCAACTAACTACATTTCTCAAACCACGGTCGCTCGCCTATAGTCCTCCAACCATTGCGCCCAACTATGATCCTCCTACCTCGATCGCCCAAATACTATCATTTGACCATCATCACCCGATTACGATCTTTCGACAATCAATCCTCAATTACGATCCTTATACCACTGTCGCTCAACTTAGTCTTCAACCCATATCACTTGGCTACAATAATGATTACCAACTTCATCACCACCCTTCGACAACGATGTCAATACGTCATTACCTACAAGGCCAATGCATGTCATCGATGCAAACTCTTTCTTCTGACATCAACACCTAGATTTATGTTGAATCTCCCCTCCTTCAAAAGAAAAACCAAACAAACAACAAACAATATCTAAAAGACAACTTCTATATCCCATGGATTCTTCTAACTTCTATCATGAAATGCAATATAAATATATTACATTATGTCAACACCTTCCTAAACAATGTAGAACGATAAAATTTATAGCCGATAACAACTACTAGTGGAATCATTTCAACTAGGCAATGCCTCATTATTTTTTCCTTTCTAGAAGTTTCCATATAAAATCTCAAGTATCTCTGACGACATTTCTCTTACACGACGTGGGTATGCTAGATCTCCAAGCAATGCTAAGATGTCAAGGGGTTAACACATTCGAACCCATGTGATAAATATGTTATGTTCTAGTACAACACGTTTTGATTGGGTCGACTCTAGGCCATAGCTGAACTTGACTCACAAACCTAATTAAATTAACATCCTCATACTTACTGCACTCAGTTCAAATAGCCCTTAATGGTGTTCATCACATGTTGCAAGTATTACTCTTTATATATATATATATATATATATATATATTATTATCATAAAAAATATTACCATCCTCACACAAAACACAATTTCTTCCAATTTAATCCTCATCATGTTGAAAAGATATCTATCCTAGTTGAATTCATTAAACATTAAGTCATTCAATTATATATTAAAATAAAAAAAAAAATATGGAATATTCTCTGCCAATGAATTTCAAAGTCAACCAAATTTTAAAATTTATATTACAATTATTTTAAATTAAATCAAACAATTCTAAATCTTATTTTAAATTAATTTACATATATAACATTTTGACTCAAAATTTTTCCTATATGATATAATATTTTTCTTCGAGAAACTTCCGATATAAATTCTTAATTTCAACCCAAAATGCATATTCTACACAAACTAATAATGATTTTAAGTTAGGATCAATTTTTTTTGGGGATGGCCTACAGAAACAGGGTTTGGTATTTGGCTTTTGTTATTTCATCGATGGTTCTTGATGTTTTGATGGATTATGATGAGGAGGCCCCCTACTTCTTCTTGTTGGCTTGGCTGGTTGGCAACCTGGGTGCCTCGGTTTGTTGCTTGGTGGATTCTGGACTACGTTCGTATAGCTTTCACCTATGGATGGTCTGTGCTTGGCTGCAAGGTTGGTATTGGGGGCTTCCATTCCTAAGTCCCCTTTCGTTGCTTATTCTGCTCTGTTTGGTTTTATTGGATTTTACTTTTTTGTATCACTAGCTATTGGCCTATAGATGTTGTACCCCTTTTTTCTATTGAATAAAAAAAAATAATGATTTTAAGTTAAATACAGAAAGTTGTCCCAAATGAAGTTAGAAAGTTGTCCCAAATGAAGTATAAGGCTTCATTTGGGACGACTTTTTTGAATGCTTTCTAAACTAATTTTTTTAATAAAAAAGTTTAAATTAAAAGTTTTTGTACTAAACAAATTATTTTAAAAAATAATAAAAAAATGGTTCCAAACAAAGCTTAAATCCCTAAAAATTTCTACTGTGGTTGGTACGAGTTCAA